CACACACACACACACAAAAAGCCGCTAAACCACTTTTTAATCCCGACCACTTTTGATGGTATTCAAAGTGGCCACTCAGTACTTTTACTGTTCTGACAAGTATATACCGTAAATCCTATAACTCTGGATAGTTTGGATTTATTAAATAAAAATACATTTATTTATAGATTTCCATAAAACCTTTTATTTTGCTAAATGGGAGGAGGAATGTAAGCGATGCACTGCCTCTCTATCATCTCTATGGGGGATGGTGCAGCACCAAGCAAGCAGCATAAAGTCAAAGCGTGAGGCACTTTAGAAGAAATAAGGTTTTCAGACGTGAGGCAGATGAAACATAAAAAGATCACCTCCTGCCCTTCACTTAACTCTGTCTTTGACCCTTGAGAACAACAAAAAAGCAACCTCGGAGAGCTCCCCAGAGACGAGCCGAGTGCGCAGATCACATCTCCAGCCTGCGCGCAATATCGTCTCCCCGCATCATTACGCCATGTGCTGCACTAATCTAACCCCCCGGCTCAATTAAGCTGATGCCAGGTTTTCTCATTGTCCGAGTTGTTCTCAGTCTAAACAGCCTTTGATCTTCGCAGCTAGCTACAAGCTCAGGCGAGCCGATGTCTTCTTCAGCTGTGCCTAATCCAAACTCCGACGGCAATTCAGAGGCAGCAGCAGGTACTGGTGTTTTCTTAGGTGTGCGCAGTTCCCAGAGAAGTGATGATGGGGCTGGAGGGAGTGGGGGTCGTGCCAAACGCTTTGACACATTGTGAGAAATATCCGCATTGTATCCTTGTAAGCTGTCACCAACATCATTACCTAAACCAGCTGGACTTGGTCAAACTGTGAAAAGCATCATTTCAGAATCTTTAGATGTTTCTGCAAATCTTAAATAGAGACACTTTATCTTCTAACTACAGGGATGTTAAAATATGGGGGAAATGCAATTTGAGAAAAGGCTTTGGATTGTTTTCACTGTATACTTTTATTCTGTTAAATTAGCCTCAAACATTGGGGTGAGGACCCCAAGGAAGGGACATAAGAATGAATGTGATTTGCTGATTCTGCAGTGTTGGCCTTCAAAAATTCAGCTCAGATCCTCTGTTATTGTTAAAGATGGATTAAAAACTGCGAGATGTGGGACTTGAATGTTTATCAGTCCGGAAAAAAAAAAAGAAGTTGGAGAGCCACTACAGGGACAAATATTGAATTATCTTCACTGTAAACATCCTCACTCCGTAATCCTTGAGTCATCCCCTTGAATGAAAGCTTCTGCACCATCACGGCCATCTGTTGTGTGCTTGAGTCGTGTCAATAACTTTTAACGGTTAAAATTTGGTCCCCCAACATTGCAGGGAGTTGCGCAGTGGTGTCAGTGCAATAATTACTGTTTTAATGAGCTTTGGCAAACAGGGATCGGCTCATTCACAGCACCTTAAAGTAATGAGTTTGAGTGTTTATGGGGGGGCGGCTTACTGCACTAATGTGAATTCACAGGGCTTGAAATGCTACACCTTCCTTTGCAGCTGGGCTGCATCTGCAACGCTGTTATCTTCACCGTAAAAATTGCCCTGCATACTCCAACAAGTGGTCACCCTCTTTTTCAGCAGAATTTGACTAAACTAAAAACACTGTGATGTTCATGTCTTCATAGCCACGTGTCACTTTCACTGTGCGCTATGACATGATGCCTATAGGCTGGTTACAGATACATGCAGCATAAATAATACATTACAATACTTATTAGCGCTTTAAAACATGCCAGCTTTGGTCAAAGCTGCATTCCCCTTAAACATCTCTAAGCCTTGTATTAATTGTGGACTTGTAAGAGAGGAGTGTTGATGAGTGGGAAAACACCAGTAAGTGCAGATGTGGGAAACTCCACAGGGTACTGGGGGGTGAGAAGCAACGAGTTGGGATGGGGCAGGGAGGGAGAAGAGCCGACTCCTGCCTGCCTTCTGGCTGGGCCAATGGGCCATGGTAATTAGATCTGGCCAATGTGGGCCCTGGGCTTTGGCCTCTGGGCATATAAGGGGGGCCTGGGGCAACAGACCCCTCATATCACTCAGAGGTCTCTTCTCTTTCACCCAAACTCTACTACCCTTCTTCCTTACTTCCTTTGCGGCCATCTCCTTCTCCATCCATTCAGACTTTAACAAGCCATGGATGTCTTCTCGCCATCACAGGTCTACTATGACAGAGCATGTGCTTCCTCTCCAGACAGCCTGGATTTCGGCCCAGGCATGGAGCTTGCTGGCTCCGAGGAGGACGAGCACGTCAGGGTTCCAGGAGCCCCCCACCAGCCAGGACATTGCCTCCAGTGGGCCTGTAAGGCCTGCAAGCGCAAGTCGAGCTTTGTGGATCGCAGACGGGCTGCCACCATGCGCGAGCGCCGGCGGCTGAAGAAGGTGAACCACGCTTTTGAGGCTTTGAGGCGTTGCACTTCGGCCAACCCCAGCCAGCGCCTGCCCAAGGTGGAGATCCTGCGCAACGCCATCCAGTACATCGAGAGCCTGCAGGAGCTGCTACGAGAACAGGTGGAAAACTTTTATGGCCTACCTGGAGAGAGCAGCTCTGAGCCTGGAAGCCCGCTGTCTAGCTGCTCTGATGGCATGGTAAGACCGCTGATCCCCATCTTCAGCCTCTTTATGCAAATGCCTGGTTTTATCAGGGTCTTGAGCAGCAAAGAAATTAGAACCACTGCACAGCAAATCCCGGAAAAGGTCTTTATTGTTGTTTGCTGCTAAAGTCATCATCAGTGTTGAACAAGAGCACTTCTATCAGTTCTCTTTACCTTATCAAGTGTTTTATTTCAATGCAGAACCCTGATTTCCACTTTAGCAACCTGTTAATCAAATGAGCTTGCTTTGCCTCAAAACCATAATTATCATGGTTTTCCATGCATGGCATACACCTCCCATAATTCCTTAATACAAACATCGAATTATGTTGTCTTACAAGAATCTCCGTCCTCTGCTTGTGATGCTTATTATTACAGGTCATATTGAATCTCTGTTTGAAGGTGACTTTGCATCAAATAATACAAAAACAACTTATAACGCTGGATTGGACTAATGGCTTTCCCACCACCGGACACTTTATAGCCCCATTAAACCAACCTAAATCCACCTTACTGAAGTCTGGCAGGCAAAACTGGGCGCTTTTCTGCATTCCATCCTGACTGCATGTTCTGCACCGCTGCCAGGATTTTCTGCAGATTTACTAGGAGAAAGTGTCATCTTGCACAAACTGGTGTTGCTTCCACTGATACAATCGATTCGCTACACTCGGAGTCGGGCCGGGGAGGGGAGAGCACAAAAAACCACTTTGGCTTTAAGGTGCATGTGAAATAAAGAAGCCAATAACTTTGGAATTCAGGATTTATTAGCCTGTCCGGAATATCATGGCGGGCACTGCACTGGGTGTTTTCTTCCTATCCAATATAACACAGCGGTTTAAACAAGCAGCTTATCATATCTGTCTGTTTGTAAGTATTTGAAGGAATTCAAGGGTAAATTCAATTTCTCATTTCCTTTCAGGCTGACAGCAACAGTCCAGTGTGGCAACAGCTGAATGCAAACTACAGCAACGGCTATTCATATGCAAAGAACAGTAAGACCTTTTAACTTAAGCAGCAGTTTGATATGAATATAATGTGAATTCTTGCCTGCAGGGCTTTAAAAATCTAATACCTGAACAGCAGATTATGTTATATTTAGACTTTATTTTATTAAGTTTCCATCTTTAATTTTGAGCTCTAAAGTAAGCTTATATAACATGCCGAGCTGTATGATCCAAATTTGGCTAATTTGAATTTGGGATCCTCTTCATCAGATAGCGTGGATGATAAAGCAGCCGGAGCGTCCAGTCTGGAGTGTCTGTCCAGTATCGTGGACCGCCTGTCCTCGGTGGAGTCCAGTAGCTGTGGGCCGGCTGGCCTTAGAAACACATCCAGCTTCTCCCCCGGCAGCTCTGACTCTCAGCCCTGCACACCGGAGAGCCCCGGATCCAGGCCCGTCTACCATGTCCTGTGAAGCAAACCTTGCTTTGATGTGAATATATATTGCCTCAGGCGGGCGCCGTGCTTTTACCCAACACCAGCTGCATTTGCAACCAAAAGCAATAAGAACTAGTTTTGGGCAAGTGGGAGGAAAACCCAGCAGAACCTGAGGGACGCGCGGCGGCCAGCTTTTGTACTGTACATGAGATTGTAAATATGTAATGTAAATGCCCATTTATTCTATACTTTCTATTATCCCCACTGAGACATATTTAATTATAACAGCTGTTGTAATGTTGCATTATTCAAAAAAGAAATGGTATTTAAGCAGTTCAGTTCAGGTGAGTGTGAGTTTTAGCAGGTTTTGTCCTGTTAAAAGGGAGTTTTTTTTATCCCCACTTTTTTCTTTTTTTAATTATTCTTTTTTTTTTATTGTAAAGTGTCATGAAATGACTAATGTTGCTTTTATTGGCACTATATGTACATGAATAAAAAGTGAACTGAATTGAAGGAGTGTTGTGCTACACTGTTACATCCCCTCTTTTGTTCTTTGTTCTTTTTTCTACTTTTTTTGCATTTAGAAACCAGTTTTTTTCTAGTTAATCAGATGCTACGCTGAAATTTTGGAGACCAAAAAATAAAATGTTTGCAAAAAAAAGTTGAAAATCCTAATTAGCATGAATTTCACTCAGTTTAATAGAGCTTTTCAGCAAAAGTTAATTAATTATGAACAGTTCATGCTGAAAGCGACTGCTGCCATTTCAGTTTTTATCTTTTGATCTCTTTGGCTTTTTGAAGATTTAAAAAAATATTGTTTCTAGAACAGGTAAATTTTTCCTTACGATGGCAGATTTATATTCATTTGCAGAATCATGGTCAGGAGTCTAAAAAACTGTCAAAATAAAAGGCCTAGTTATTTATTATGTGCCTCACACGTGGTGTGTCCCAGACGTCTTGGAGTTTTCTTCAGCTAACAAGGTGTCAGGATCACTGATAGAGGTCATCTGATATCGTTTATCATTTTTACCCTGCTATAATCATTCATGTCGCCTGTTTGCTGATGAGGCAGTACAGCAGTGTAAAAGCCAAATTTGTGGTGTCTTTCCTGGATCACAGAAATGATTCAATGAAAAGAGACAACTGTGTAAATAAAGGAAAAAATTCAAAACATCTCTAAACTCATTTTTGTGTCTCTGTACTCGTGAAGTGTAAAGCTGCACTCTGTGTGTGTGTGTGTGTACCTGTTTGTTCCTTCCTACCAAATGTGAGTCATCATTAACACCCTTGATTACACCATCAACACAAGAGTTAAGAACAAATGGCCTCTAATTGCATGTATTGTGTGACTGAAGAGGAGGAGGCGGCGGAGGGGGAGGGGGTCACATATGTGTTATACTCCGTCATGTCTTTGATCATGCACTAAGAAAGCTTGTTTTCAAGGAATGAGCTGGAAAGCTGTAATACCGTGTCCGTGCATTTGTCAGAAAGCTACGAATTTCGAAAACATATTATGACATAAAACCAGAATCGAATGTAAACCACACAAATCTGATACAGCTCCACTTGGATCGTCTAAAGTATTACCATGCTGCTTTCATGTAAATGCATCAGTTATAATGATGTTTGTAGTTTGTAGTAAATTTTTTATTTTATTCTTTTTTGTTGTTGTTATGTTACATTAATCTTGCTAAACAACACATTCATTTACTGCTGCTTATCCAGGTTCGAGTTGCAGGGAGCAGCAGTTTCAGTAGAGACACCCAGACCTCCCAGCCTGGGACCCGAGAGATGCCAGAGAGAGACATAATCTCTCTGGCATCTCTTGGGTTAGCCCCGGGACCTTCTCCATCACTGCAGACATTGTGTGAATCCATCTGTAAATTTTGTGGTCCTCTTTCCGCTCACCGAAAAGAGGTGAGCACTTCACCCTTTTTCCGGCCGAGGACCATGGTCTTAAAGGTGCTGATTCTCCACACTGTGATGCAAATCACCATAGTACACACTTGAGGTCACTGCCCAACGAGGCCAGGAGAACCAAATAATGGGTGGCTTGGGATGTCTGTAGCTCAGGAGGTAGAGCGGGTCATCTGGTTTTTGGAAGGTAGGTGGATCTCTGGCTTCCAGTCTATATGCCTTTGGCAAGATACTCACCCCAAGATACTCTGTAATGTAAAAAGTCCTGAGGCCACTAAAGCAGGTATTAAAAAACAGTAAAAGAGGAATCAATAACATAGACAATTGATAAAATACCACCCTACCCACAAAACTTAAACACAAAACAGTATAAAAGTATAGGGAGACAAAACAGCACAGGGCTCAAGCATAAGAAAATAACATAAAAACAAGAGATAGCAGAGTATTCATTACCACATGACTGATTACACTTTTAGTTATCATCCCATTCTGGGTCCAAGGTCTGCAGGAGAAGAAGAAACGACACATGTTGATAACTCGAACAGAAGATGCTGTTTGAGGATTTAGCTAACGGCATCAAAACGTTCATGTGTTACTGAATCCGAGATTTCAAGAGGAGTGACTGAGCACCTACGTGCTGCTTATGTAAGCATCTGTATGTTAATTTTGTCTCAGCAAAAAATACATAAATAAATAATTATCACACTTAACATAGCACATTGCATTGGCTTCTTACCCAGAATTTAAATCGCCTGATTGCATATCATCATAAGGGTCTAATGTTAGGCTGCATGTGACCAAGAGGTTACAGAAGAAAATCTCAGAAAATTCATGAAAGTCAAATAAGTTTAAGTGAGTAAATAACATATTTCTGACAGTAGCCATATTTTAAAGGGCGAGCCATTGTTGACAATGTTTTCTTTTTTTTTTTTTTTAAAGATTTTACAGCATTTTGATTATAAAAACTCATTTAGAGCTGTGATTAGATTAAATAGTTAATATGCATAAATTTCAGTAATTGCATCATGCAAACATTTTGGGAAAATAAATTGTGTTTGTCTATAAATAATTGATATTTATGATCAAAATTCATTTTTTGTTTTGTGTGGTTTTGTTCTGTTTTTTTCTGATACTCTGAGCAGGAAATCTCCACTTGATTATCTCTTGCAGTCTCCATACTCAAAAAATTTCTCCCTGTGCCAAAGGGTTTGTTAATGCATTGTCCAGAGTAGCATTTACAGAACATTTCATTCCTCACAAAAATGCCTATTGATTTAATTTAGTAATTTATTCAGCAGTTAAAGAGAATTTAAAGGCCCTTCTGTGAATGTATTTCCTCTATCATGTCAGCAAAATGAAACAAGAATTTTTAACTTGACTTTATTAGCATATATTAAGATAGATAACATCCAATTTGCATATTTAACCTTAAATATTATAGAGGACTCCTCATACTAAAAACAATACTTTGAATGTAAGTAAATAAATGTGGTGGTTTCATGGTTTCTGTCACGGATAATGGAAAAATGCAGACTCAGTCGCG